CTTATCAGTTCAGTCACCTCTCATGCCTCTAAAACGATGTACCCCTGAAATGAGAGGCTGCCAAAGTGTATACGCACGCAGCATACCATACTAGGGCCATATCTCTCTCCCAAGGGACCGAAGTCACACCGTCGGGTCTCCTGCTTCTTGAAATAATTACCGTTACCTTTACAACCTATCAAAGTCCACTGCTGAACATAGGCCTCCCGCATAGATTGCCTTACAGGGTTTCTTCTCCATAGTTGTCACGCTTGGCAAGCAGGTTGGCAACCGCAATTTTAGTTAATATTAGGAACATGCTGCAGCCCAACACCTAATTTGTTTCCCTCTGTCGAATCTTACGTCACCCACGGGATGATATGGGGTATAGTTGATACCGCCACTGCTCGGTAAAGAACATTTTTGACACGTTTTAGTAAGATTGATCTGAAGGTATTGATTGCAGACCATATTAAGAACCGATAACATGACGATAATTTCAAAATTATGACATAGTATTCTCATCAAGACCAATGTAGTTTTCAAGTTTTTTACAATCTTATTTTATTACTAGACGATGTAAGCGAGAAGCGGGAAAAATGGTGAAATCAATTCAATGCTTTTAAGCGTGTTTCTGTCAAGATTAAAAAAAATTGTCTCAGTCAGGTCTCATAAAAATCCAATGCTTCGATAGATTAATTAACAAAAATATAAGTCGAATCTAAAGAATTGTAATGATTTTATTAAACAATAACCAATATTTTACAAAGGTATAAAAATAAAGTAATAAATAAAATATTACTTCTAATGTTACACTTATATACAATATGTATATGTAATTCTTAAACGCAGATGGCAATCCAAGCAAGAAATACAGAAATTTGATACAAATAATAATAATAGTAAAATAATGTTAAAGATAAAATTCTCCTAACATAATTTCACCATTTGTTAAATTATCTACGTAATTTTTAAATTATTATGAATTTCCTACCAGATTTGTCATGATTTGAACCGTGTAACATGTCATATTTTAAAAGAGCATGGACTCCGTTTTCAAACACTCAAATTAGAAGGAAGTTCTTTTATTGTATCATCGAAATCTTTTTACCCGCCAATATTGTGACATCATTATTTGGTAGAACTTGATGAGTGTTTCTTGATACCTCAGCGATGTGATCACCGTTCTCTTTTCATCTTTAATTACAAAATCTAAGATATTAGAATGAGACGCAACAGTATTAATAACCGCAGTTCCTTCAATCACACCACTCATCAGTCTTCTACTTCTTCTTCAAAATAATTAAAGAACGAAACGAAAAAATATAGGCACTTCGTTCACCCTGGGAGGGTTTTCCATCGTAATCTCTAACACGTGGGACAACGGGCAATGAATAATCTTTTTCCAAAAAATAAAATAGTGGTTTAATGCCCAATACGATATAATCCACAAATAGTATTATCACACTTACAAAATTACTAAAGATGGATTGGTTGTCAGATTTGTACGTGGTAGAGTATGTTATTATCGTATATCGACCCCCCACTAGATGGAGTGACGACCTGGTAAGACATGCAGGAAGAAAAAAAAATTGTGGTTCACTCGTGGGCAAAGAAACTATACTATCTCTCAAGTTGGACCAAACTGCACGCGGTGTGCATATTTGCTTAAAATCTGTTAGGTAGTTTAGGAGTCCATCGCGGACAAACAACGTAACACGTAATTTATATTTAATAAGAATATACTGTATATATAGCCTGCGAAGGTTCATGCGAGAACGGATGATTTTCCATTCTCTGTTTTTCCACTGGATCGGTGTCGATGCCAACCTACGCTCGATTTTTGCGCAGTATTAATACACACTACAGTCCCGTAACAAATACTTCAGTTCTACTGTACGTAGAAATGGTCTCGTCAAGTCGTCGTATTTACTTGTTATATCTATTTATGTAGGACGAAAATATAATCAACGCAGAGAAGTCAAAACTGAATGTATCCATTTTTGTATTACCCGAGAGGTAATACAAAATGCCTTTGACGAAATTGTTGCTTCCCGTCTAGCTGATTTCTTCCAGAAGGGCATCAATAAACAACCATTGCATTAGCAAAGATGTATCGATTGTATGGATAACGTAGGTACTTTGAATTAATAGAAATAAAAATCATTGAAAAAAAAATATGTTTACGTATTTCGTAAAAACGGCAATTATATATTGGTAAAGACCTAACATTATGATAACCCTTTTTATACAGTCAAATTTTTTTTAATAAAGTTTTTGAAGTTAGGGGATGAACAAATTTTGTATATTATCTGGAAATTTGTTGTAAAAACGTAAACATTATCTCAAGAATGAATTAGTATCTAATAATAAGGTCTGTGAATACGGGTGACACAGTCTACTGATCATAAGCGGATATTGTGGCACATCTATATCTATCCTCGATTTTAAATCAAAATGCAGATGCGTTGCCACTTCTAAGGACTAAGATGAAACTGCCTCGTTACCGGCAAAAAGGGTATCCGGTTCTCTACATTTACCATGCGAAACACAGCATTATTGTGTTGTTTTTACGTTGGTATTCTATGAGTGGTCCTGCTCCGGTCTGCAGCACGGTTCTACCACTTAAAAACTTTCTTTCCCTATTTTTCCATTTACCACTATGTGGATTTTTTCTTTAAATAAAAATGAGGGTGGACGTGAAATACTCGTAACTTTTGAAAATATCGCGTCAACCCACACGTACAAAACACCGTAGTTCTCTTTGAAGCCGGTTAAAAGGCTTGTGTGAACAAAACACTATAAATACAGATATGTAAGTCAGTGGTGTACACAAAATCACACCTTCCTTATTCAAATTTGCTTACTTTTTGTTTTCGTTTATCACAAAACATACAAGCAAGTGCCATGCTCGCGATAACAAGAAAAATATTTTAAAACAATGTTCTCTAAACGTCAACTTTTCTGCTATTTTTTGTAACAAATTGCCTCATATATTTAAAAAAAACATCTCCAGTTTTCTACGCATCTACATTTTGTTAAGTAATCGAGGATAGATGTTGATTACTATGGACCACAGCATGCACTTACCATCATGAACTCTTGTAATTCAAGCAACGGTTTCGTACAGTAGATAGAGGTAATAACTGTTAACCGTTTGTAAAACAGTTAACACTAATAAAACTATTGTTTTACTTCCACCCACATAGCTCATCAGCTAGAGGTGATGACTGATGTTAGTGATGGCAACGTAGTACATTTTTATAAATGGGTGGTAAATGGATCCTGGAACTCTAGACGAAGGCGCTCTTGTCAAGTTAAGCACCCTTTCTAGGGAATTAAGAATTTCTAAGTTCAGATAATAATTACTACCGTGTAGTGGCGGTACCTCATATCATCCAGTAGCCATAAGAAGCGAGAAAGAGAAACAGGCCAAGAGATGGGCAGCGGCGTCTTTCTAATAAAACAAAAAAACTAACCAAAAACTGAGGTTGCCAAAAAGCCTGCCTAAATATCGCCCCTATGAGGCAATCTATAAGGCTTATGTTAAACTTTGGACTTTATTTATTTATTTATTTGGTTTACCAACAAATGTTTTACTAATACCTATGCTCGATTTTAAGACAGGGCATGCTTAGTCCTCACATCATTTCTTAGAAGCTGAACGTTATTAGAAAGCTAAAAATGTATAAAACAAAAGTAAAAAAAGAATACTATGAAATATTAACAAATAAAAAAATATGCCGGAAAAGACTTACGGTGAATATCTAACACATTATTATAAGTACATATTTAAAAGTCTGAAAAATCGGAGTACGAAGGAGTGGCGAAAAAGGAGTAATCAATTTACGAGGATATCTTTTTTTATAGGAGAGGGTGCAAACGAGCATGCGGCTCACCTGATATTAAGTGACTACCGCCGCCCCCGAACAGCTGCAACACCAGGGGAATTGCAGGTGCGTTGCCGGCCTTTTAGAAAGGAGTAAGCTCTTTTCTTGAAGGTCCTTCAGTCGTATCGCTCTGGAAAAATTGCCGGTGGTAAACAATTCCACAGAGAAGTTCTACGAGGAAGAAAACTCCTAGTAAAACGCACGCGCAGTGGTGGACCGCCAAGCATTCAGATGGTGGAGATGGTATCGTGAGTTTTGACGCGATGTGCGTTCGTGAAATTTGGCGGCTGGAACTAATGCGGACAATTCCTCAGAATATTCCTTATAACTGCAGCATGGCTCTACCACGTATAAATAATATATTGCAATAATAATGATGTTTGCAAATCTATACATATAAATAAAATTGAATTATGTGTCAGTAATATTGAAATGACTGGCATCTATTAAGCTCAGGGGGTATTTAAATGCTAATATGAGTTGAATAATCATTTGAATTTTTTTTGTCTGTCTGTCTGACTAATACTCGTAATGGCTCAACCGATTGTAAAGAAACTTCACGAACATATAGATAGCCGTACCAGAAGTGATCTAGGCTATATTTTATCTTAGAACTTGAACATTTAAAAAATTGATAAAATGGCATTGAGTCATATGTACTACGTACTAGAGAAGCTATTCCAAACAAAAAATGTGACCTAATCCGAATCCGCACATGCGCAGTTGATATAAACGCGCGAATGTTGTCATAATAAATAATTGTTTATTTAGATTGTATTGTCAACCGAGTATATTTTTTTAATTTTCGTTTATTTTGCATTGATTTTTTTATTAGCGTCGCTCCGCACTGCATGAATATCGAAGCCACAATAACCGGTGTACGGATTGCAGTACAGTTCAGTTGAACATAGTGAGTGTTCGGAATATCATATCTAGTGCGTAGTACATATATATCGATGTAAAATGGACATTAATCTTAATATTAAACATCCTATCCTACATGGGCGAAGCCGGGGCGGGTGGCTAGTCTTTCCTATATTTAGAATTGCCATGCCATGTTCAGATGTGGTCTTTCAAAAGAAAAAGAAAAATATATATTTTTGTCTCTTTCAGGTGTTCGTTCGTCGAGCAATGTTCGTTGCCCGTTTCCTATGGTTGTTACTATGTTACGCTCAGAACGCGCGAAGCAATCTCCTTGACGATTATGAAGATATCATAAACAATATACTCTCGCCAGTTGATGACAGAAGTGTCTCGCTACCTATACAGTTGGGAGTGGATAAGAGCTCCGGATGCATTTGCAGGACCAACAAAAACCATAAGATTATCGTTTGCTTTGGAAACTATGAATGTCGCAGGTTTCCCAAGGTACTTTCTTTTGTTAATACACTTTTTTATACCGTTACAACCTAATGAAGTCCACTGCTGAACATATGCCCATAAATTACCTCATAGAGGTCATTTGCCATAGTTGCCACGCTTAGCAAGTGGGTCAGCAACAACAGATTTTTGTTTTTAGTCGTTATTAGGAAGACGCTGCCGCCCATCTCCTGATTTGTTTCCCTCTGTCGCCTCCTGCGACACTCGCAGGTGATATGGGCTAGTGGATATTCTTATACCGCCACTACACGGTAAACTTTTCTATACATACATATAAATAAAATTGAAGTTTCTGTCTGTTTTCTGTCTGTTATATTGGAATCGCTACATTTTACTGAGCTTATAGGCATTTGCATGACATTAAGACATGAATAATCATTTGCAAAAGTTTTGTCTGTCTGTCTGTGCAGTCTAATCTTCGAAATTATTGCTATATATATATATATATATATATATATATATATATATATATATATATATATATATATCAGAAAGAATCTAAGCTATACTTAAAAGTGAATGTCAATGTAGTGTAATGTTTCGTAGTTGAGAAGAGGCCTTCCTGACACTATAAGCATATAACACTTTATATGTTCATAGTATCAAGCTCGCTGTTTGACCGCTATAGCGATTAAAACGGGCCCAAATAGGGTAATGGTAACTGAACAACTTATTTACCTACCAGACTGGTGGAGAGTAGTATTTTTAAAAAATTAATAACTTTCTGATTTTAAATAATACTTAGTACAAATTACATCATAATATTCATTTGCCAAGTACGTACAAAATTGTCATAATTCCCTATACGTGGTGGAGCCACGCTGCAGCTATATTATGGTTATAGCACGAATGTATCGGCTCGACCAGGGAAGGACCACGCTCTCACAGAATACCAGCGTAAAAGCAGCTTAATGCTGCTGTGTTTCGTATGGTGAGTGTAGAGAACATGTGACCCCTTTTACTGGAAATGAGGCATTCCATCTTAGTCCTCAGGGGTGACAACGCATCTGCATTTTGATTTGTAATCAAGGATAGATGTAGATGTCTATGGGCCGCAGCAACCACTTACCATCAGGTGGACTGTGTGCTCGTTTGTCAGCCTATCCTATAAAATATAGTGCAACCCTTAGATATACATGACCGTAATGAACCTTCTTCTAAACCATCCTGAGGGTCACCCGCGTAATCGAAAAAACACCAAAAAAAGTGGTGTGTGCTACCCCGCAAAGGAATGAAAGGTCTTGATTTAAGCCATTGTATGCAATAAATTTGAGCAACATAAACTTAACTAAGTATATATAATTTCAAAGTTTGTTCCTACTTACAATTAACATTTGATTTAGCTGAACGATATCATTATCTAAATCAAAACACAATGGCAAAATTATCAGTGTTTAAACAAAGAACGTCAAACCTTACAAGCACTGAATATATGTATTATTTATACACATAACATTTATTTTGGTGCCCGATACTTAATCAGTTAATAATATCGGACAACCGATATTAAAAAAAATATCCAGACCGGTGACGATCAGCAGTCTCAAAGGTTTTTTTTTTAAATGGTACAAATGGACACGCAATCTACACTTGAACACTGAGGTTTCTGAAATAAAAAATGCGATAGGTTTTCACTAACGTGTAATTTGAAAGTTTTATAGGTACTATTGTGACTGGTTTAGGCTAAAATATCACGTCATGAGGACTGCTGCCCGTTGGTTGAATATGACACTATAACGATGTGGCACCCATTAGCATCTTCTCTTGGAATTTAACAGATGCCGTTACCGGTGTTTCAACACCCATAGAGCATAGACATTTACATCTATCTGCGGGATAACATGCTTCGTTTTCAGTTAAAAGTGTCTCCAGTTCTGTTCATTCTATATCAATTCTTATTGATTGAAACTGTCTTAAGTTTACATTAACACTGCGACCGTAAATCCAATTAGCAAGCGTGACGATTAATGCAAATCTTTCTAACAACAGAAGATATCCATGTCCGCGCTGGACTCGTAGGAACCAATAAAGAAGAATAATTAGAAACCAATACGATAATGATACGTTAGTGGATTTATTTACACATCAGACAAAAGAATTGGATTTTAGATGAATATAAAGCTATATCCATATCTGTTTTTACGATTACTTTGTTCAGTTGGTTAGATGAATCTGTAATCAAGATTTTTTTGTAGTTGTTTAGATGTGGTGAAAAAACGGTTGAGCCTAACCGCCATCATTAGTGTTCTCTCTTCTCAACTTTACGTAGTCTATTCGCTCGTGTCTTCTAACAATTCATTCACGTATGTGGTTCATGAGGGTGTATCAATGTCCGTTGACATCGATTTCTAAAAACTAATTTTGATAATGATGCAAAATCTAAATAGCGATTATCATAACTCATCACGCAGTAGCATTAATATGCTTGCACGCGAGCATGAAGTCCCTCGCTCTAGCCATAAAATATAAGACATATTTTTAAATACTTTGTTTTTAATTCGTAACTGCCAACATTTTGTTTTGATTTCTCCCTGGGATGACTGATAGAGAATATCATAAGGCATTACATCCGACCTTCGTAACCCTTAGTTTAAGGTGATTGCAATAAAGGATAAGTAAATAAATATATAAAACTGCAACTTGGCTCCATCACATAATGTTTCCTTGGGTTATCCATACTTCTACTCGTACTTATATTAATTCAAATAATATATTGCATTTCAGGTAAAACTCCAAAGCGACCTATTACGAGTGAGAACAACAGATATGACCACAATCCTCGCCGGAGAGCTCGATTCACTTGGACATTTGAAGGTTTTGCAAATAGAAGCAAATCACAGACTCCAGTACTTGGAGCCTAGTCTATTCCGTAATTTATCGAAATTGCAACAACTCTCAATATCCTACAATACCAGACTCCACACAATTTACGAAGGCACATTTATAGGTCTTACTAGCCTACACAATTTGACTCTAGTCAACAATGGTTTTACCAATATATTAGATTTAACGTTAGCATTTAAACCAAGCATTTTACCTTCATTGAAAGGATTAGATTTATCTGAGAATTCTTTAGATATAATACCAGAGAACGCTTTCCGTGCGATGGAAGGCACGACATTGAAAAGACTTGACATTAATCTATGCAGACTGGAATTCATACATCCAAATAGTTTTCTACCACTTTTAATGTTGAAAGATTTGCGCATCGGTGAAAATGATTTAAATTCGACTCTGATAGGTGACTTCTTAACGAAAATGATAGAAAAACGTATAAATTTAACCCATCTTGACCTATCTGGAATGGGATTTCGAAAGCAACCACCAAAAAATTTATTGAACATAATTTCAAATTCAACTATAGAGAGATTGATCCTGGCTAAGAATCAATTTGAAATAATTACTGATGATTCGTTTCCAGTGATGGCAAATTTGGAAATACTGGATTTAAGAAAAGTTTTAGCAATATCTATAGCTCCTGAAGCATTTAATGCCATAAAGTTTCCAAACCTACGCATTTTACTGTTAGGCGGTAATAACCTACCTGGAATACATCAGAAACATATTTCAAATCAACAGCTTTTACTTTTAGACCTCTCATCAAATAAAGGTAGCAATCTAAATCCAATGTATTATGAAATTGACAGAGACACCTTTATTTACTGCAAAGAACTGAGAGTATTGAACCTTGCCTACAACAGAATCAAATCCGTTTTTGATTATACATTTAGAGGCTTAAGCAATTTAAAAATACTCAGCTTGGAGAACGGAACATTGTTTCATATTGGAGACGGCACGTTTGAGCCAATGCGACATTTAGAAATGCTGAATCTGGCGAATAATCCTCTTACAGCCAACCAAAATTTATCTAGTGCTCAATTTGAAGGATTGAATGAGTTAAAAATATTGATCCTTAAAAATTGTGGAATCAAACATTTGTACGATGACGATAATATATTTGAAATGATGCCACATCTAACTCATTTAATTCTCAGAAATAACCAATTATACTATATTACTACCGAAACACTAAAACCTTTGAAGCTGTTACAAGTGCTTGACTTGAGCGAGAATCTTTTGGTTTCTTGGTGGAAATCACTATTTCTAACTTCTGGTGTTCGCCCAATCAATCTATACTTAACAAATAATAAAATTTCGCACTTTACTATAAGCATGATGCAGGATATAAATTATTTATTAGACAATCCTCGCACAATAAATTCTTCCACTGAAATAGACTTGATGAACAATATTTTCATTTGTGACTGCACTTCGATGTATAAAACATACATGTGGTTGCAAGTTAATGGAACATCACTTCTCAAAAGATACTTTACTAGTTCAAGGTTTCAATGCAGCAGCCCGGATGTGTGGGAGGATAGAAGAGTTGCGGATTATTTAACATCTATCAAAACTTTGCGTTGTTTAATGTACGAAAAAATTTCTAACATCATGCTTCTAATATGGACAGCACCATCTGTAGTAACAATTCTTTTGGTCACTGGAATTATTACAGGCGTTTACAAATACAGGATTTATATCAGATACTGGTTGTTCCTTGCGAAAGTTGCTGTAGGAAGAAATTTAAGAGAAAGAAAATCATTAAAAGCTGAAGAAACTATTCCAAGCAAAGGCTATAGATTCGATGCTTTTGTGTCCTACTGTAACGAAGACAGAGAGTTTGTTGCGGAAATGATTAATCAACTAGAGACTAAGCCTCCATATTTAAAATTGTGTATATACGAAAGGGACTTTGAGATAGGTTCGTTTATTTCTGAATCGATCTTAAACAGTATTAATGAGAGTAAATATATAATTTTAATAATAAGCAATTACTTTGCAAAATCTCAATGGTGTAGATGGGAGACCCAGCTTGCTGAGTACCACAGATTATTTTTAGAAGATGGTACTGCGTATGATCCACTAGTGCTTATTAAGATAGACAATGTAGAAAATAAATATATGACAACAACTCTTAAGTACCTGCTGAAAACAAAAATATATCACTCTTGGGACGAAATGCATCCTGAACAGTTCTGGACAAAATTAAGAAATGTTTTAGCAAAGAATTTATAGTGTACTTAAATATTAATAATTTAAATAAACAAATGTATACCCGTTATTTATCTTAATATTTTTTTCATAACTCCACGTTTAAAGTAGTCGACAATAAATTTAATGGACAAAAATTAAATGGACAAACCTAATTTGTAGGAATCCATCATATTAAATATATTTAAAATAATTAGCTGAGATCCGCGTACTTCGCGTTTTCCCTTTTAGAGAACACCTCTGCCTTCCCTCAAATGCGTACACTATCCCCGTCACCACTAACTGCTTCTAAAAGTAGGTAAGATATCATTTTAATTTATTAAGCGGTTATAAACCAATTACATAACATAACATAAACACTCACGCCTGTCACCCAGAGGGGTAGGCAGAGACTACAGACTTCCATTTATAATATTATATATATATATATATATATATATATATATATATATATATATATATTATAAATTAATATATTATATAAACCAATTAATTTATAACATCTTTAACTTTTCAGAGGACATTTGCATTTGCTTGCAGTGCACCTTGCTGAAGGTGTGTTAGCAATCACAGTTGTGTTATTGTATATAATAAAAGAACTATAAACTGCAGCCCATGAAAATTTTGAAAACAAACATCTGCATTTAATTCCTGAGGATACATGTAAATATCTAAGGGCCACAGCATCCACTTACCATCAGGTAGTATTGTAGTTGTTATGAGGAAAATGCTGCTACCTATCTCTTGTTTCATTGTCCCTCAGTTTCTCAATTTTTACGACACCCAAGGGATTATATGGGTTTGTGGATTCTTTTACGACGCACTACATGGAAGCAGTATAAGACGCTAAGCCTAAAACCCATGAACTGGTGACAAAAACCATTAGGAGGGCTTTTGCTCAGCTTCATAAGTATAGACTTACAGCGCGGTTAAGAAAAAGCCAATCGCCATCCGTAATAGGGACGGACGGCAATATATTTAACAAAGTTTTTTTAATGGTGTGTAAGGAACTCGAATCCAACCTCTGCTACCATCAAACTGTGTAGACGTGTCATATGAGGCGCCTATGGGAAACCTCAGAAAATTTTATGGCATCCAATAGATGGCGATATAGCCACCTTGCTTACGTTAGCCATAAAGTATCTAGACCTGCGACGGGCAACAGCTTCTTTGCCACTAGGGCGGCGCTACCTAAAAATATATTTGACAGATTTCATAGCGGGAAAATCAATCTGTTCTGAAATTTTTTTTAAAACAAAAAACTTCACCGCAGTTCCATCTAGCAAGATCTGGTGAGTGGGAGAATATTAGCCCTCATTACTTCGTGTTATTATGGCAGAGGTCTAGGTCCAAATTTGCTATTTTACTTGCCGACAAAAAATAAAAAGAAGACATAAATAACTGACTGGCATACAAAGCCCAAAACAATAAGAATAATAAATAACAAGTTGTGTAGAGTCTATTTTTGTAATTATACTAGTTTCTGTCTGATACATTAGTCAAGACAGCCGCTGCTCGAACAACTCGAAATGTATGAAACGGATCACATTAGAAAACAGCGGCAAAACCACCGATTGTTACCCCTTTTCATCACCTTTGGCAAAGTCTACTTTACTTAATGTTTATCTGCGTAGTGACGCATTTTTTTAGATACAGTAATAAAAGATTGTAGTTGGAAGTTGTGGCCCATAGACATCCACATTTATCATCAATTATGTATTAAAATGCGGATGCGTTGTCATCTTTGAAAACTAAGAGGTGAGCCTAGATACCAATTTAAAAAAAATACTTACCGATATTCTACACTGACTATACGATAACGCAGCAGTATCATCCCACTGCTTCAGACTAGTATTCTGTAAAAATTTATCGCGCTATCATTATGTGACAAAATAAATACATAATAATAATAATAAAAAATAAAAAAAAAAAAATAAAAATCATTTATTTCGACCTTAAAGATCATATTTGTTAGTAACATATATAAGAAAAACACTAGTCTAATGTTAGTAAACTTAAGACTACCTTAATCTATATCTTATATCTAAGACAGCCCTGATTTGTCAGCACGTGCACCATACGGCAGTGGTTCAGGTACTGACAATCCAGCCTGTCAGCAAATGCCCTCAGGACGCCACTGGGACCATCCCTAACCCTGCGTACCAGGGATGTGCACCGCTTGCGCATGATCGAGTGAAAACAATCAACATGTGCATCAGCGAACATACCCGACGCACTGCAGAATCGAGGCAGTCCCATCAGCATCCTAAAAGCATTATTGTACTGAACGCGCAGAGCATTGTACTGATTCTGCGTAAAATCGATCCACAGGCTGCTTGTGTAAAATGAAGAACAGTAAGCTCTAAATAGCGTTACTTTAACCGGGGTGGAACAACGAACAAACCTGCGAGCTATCATGTTCGCCCTAACCGACAATGCTCTGCGCTCTCTCTCGATATCAGCATCGTCTTTCAAGTCAAAGGTTACCACATGACCTAGATATTTAAATTGCGACACCCTTTTTTAACGGCGTACCATATAATTTAATGGGTGGTACAATTGATGGTAATGCTTTTCCCTTGGCCCGAAAGACCATACATTCGCTTTTTTTCACATTATAAATTAAGCCGTGACTGTGAGCATAGTTTTCACATATGCTCAACAGTTTCGCTAAGCCACAAACAGAAGCACTCAGCAACACCATGTCGTCAGCGTAACTGATGTTGCTAAGACATACTCCGTCAATGTGACAACCGACATGTGTGCTACTGAGCTCCTCTATGAGGGCATTGACATACAGGTTGAAGAGCTTAGGGGAGGTTAGGCCTCCCTGTCTAACTCCGCACTCCAACCTATATGGCTGCGAATAAGATTCGGACCATCGCACAACATTGACCTGGTTACGGTACCAATATTTGAAGATTCTGGTTGCTTCTTCAGGCAGTCCAGTATTTTTCAATTTCTGCCATAGGATATCATAATTTACCAGGTCAAAAGCCTTACTAAGGTCGAGAAAACAGGCATATACAGGTGTACGCCTAACCGAATAGTACCTAACAGTCTGCTTCAGACATAATATGGCCGACTCAGTTGACAAACCTGGCCTGAAACCAAACTGATTATCATGTAAGGTTATATATTTATCAAGGTGGACGCTAAGCAAACTGTCAAGAACCTTCGCAACAACCGTGGCTAGTGAGATAGGCCTGTAATTGGATTTATCAGACACATCCCCCGTTCTGTTCTTCACAATTGGCACCACCACAGTTTTCATCAGCGCTGAAGGCAAGTACGAGTGTGCCATGCACAAGTTATAAAACATGGCAAGCACTCCGGGCAGATGAGGACCCGCATACCTTAGGTGTTCAATACTCAGACCGTCATGGCCAGGAGACTTGCCACGGGACATAGAGGCTATAGCATTATTGACATCCATTGCTGTAAATCGGATTCCAATCTCCTGACCACCCGTACATTCATCTCTTCCAAGCTGTGATGGTCGCAACGGTGACGTCACCGTAAAATGGTCCCTGAACATGTCCGCTATGAGACTATGGTCATTAATACCCTCAACGCTCACTGGTAAGCCAGGTCTACCATTTAATTTATTGGTAGATTTCCAAAAGTTCTTAAAGTCATTGTTCGAATGCTGCGTAGCCGCAATGTCCATTTTAATTTGCTCGCTGTGGTTTTGACACCAGCGTAAGCGTGACTTAAATAAATTGCGACTACGCCGCATTTCCTCATAAACTTCTCCACTATCCGGTTTACCCCACCAAACCCACATTAAAAATTTAGATCTGGCCTCCCCGTGAGCATCGCGCACATATCTGTTCCACCCAACCACCGGCCGCCTCCCTCCACGCAATCTTACAGTGTTGGATTCCGTTGCGGCCACCGTCAAAAATATCTATAATTTCGCCATATAATTTATCGATAAGTAAATTGTGATCGGTAGACTCGCAAGTAAAATCACTACAAGAACGAAACTCTTCGGGGAAATCGATTGATCTCAACTTTTCATTACATAATTTCGTATATAATAAAATATCTTCCGGTTTTCTATTTCCCCACAGAATCTCGTTTACAACTTTATGTGTACTCGTATACTTCGGTTTAACAATATCTAAATTACATTTAATTATTAAAGGGTAATGGTCAGACCACAACACATCGTACTTTACATGAACATTCAAAATAGACGATGCCGCAGATTTCGTGGTTATACAGTGATCTAGCCACCTTTTCGACCCGTGGGCTTCACTAACAAATGTATATGTGTCCGCGCTCACTCCTAAAAACTGTACATCTGTACATGACCAGTTTTGTTCGTCACAGAAACACGTCAACTCTGCATAAAAGCGTTCGTTTGGATGCGCATTAAAGTCTCCGAGTATATAGACACATTCTATATTACTATTATCAATAATAGCACTCACCGAGCTGAGGCAGTCAGTAAACTCCGTGAGATTTACCACTGTATCCGTCGGCATATATACGCTAAACACTAGGATGGACCTATCACCCAGCACTATTTTTATCGCACATATACGCGGATTATCACAGTTTATTACTGACACATTTTGAAAGACACTTTTATTCCACAATAACGCTACACCTCCGTAAGGTCGACCGCAGACCATCCCCGCCGCCGTGTCTATCGCAGAGGTGCCCGTACTGCCGAAACGGTCATCAATCTCGCTAAGAAACTGAATATCGTGTGGAAATAACCACGTTTCTTGAAGCGCAATAACATCCGATGACTGACACAACTGCCTCACATGCTCAGCTGATCGTTTTATACTTTTACAATTGAAACTGACAAAAGTACACGAGAGGATTTTATCCATTACCATTTGGGGTCGGGCCGTTCACGGTATTTACTGTACCGTTCGTTCCAGAGCTGTGGTTTCGCTTGAAGTTGACGAAGCGCCTAAAGATCACACCTTGGGGCCAAAGCGTTTTATCTAAGAAAATATCTATTTTCCGCTCTGATACAAAAAATTTGTAAGCGTTGTAGTCCTTGTTTTCTTTACTAAAGGAAATCTTTTCGAGTGTTATCTTTTCTCTCGTTTTATTGTAAACGTATTGCACAATATCGTTTTCCGTCGTGTCCCGATGAACCATCGTTATAAACATGGGCACTTTACGATCTGCCGCTTTAAAATTACTTTCTTCGTTGGACACACCCGCGGCTCCCGTATAACGGTATCTCCTTTGTTTCTGGCCTCGTCTCACCACTCTCCACTTCCCCTCCGTGCTCGCTACCTCGGCGAAAGACCGCGCAATTGCACCCGCTGCATGTTTCGACGCTGCCCCCGAGCTGGCTGGCGGGCTGGCTCGTGGCTCGGTCGGCGCGGGCGTCGGCGATGATGCAATACTAGGCTGGCCCGCACCCGCTACCGCACCGATTACTTGTTCCGTGACGCGCGCTCCTTCAACAGCTGAGACACCGCTGCCGACCGTTCCTTGAGATTTATAATTACCCTCCATAAAATTTATACATCTGTAATTTAGATTATAATCTTTCGGAGATGACGGTTCCTCATTAAGATGTTGACTGT